TGTGCATGTAAACAAGACAGCAGTTTTCCTGAGTCAGAAACAGTATGTTCATGCTCATCCATTGGCCACTCTCTAGCTCAGGGAATTCGCCCAGCCCTGAAACAGCTCCCCTTCTAAATGAAGCACCACTGCATCCCTTCCCTCCCTATCAGAGACCCATTAGGTTTCACTATGCTTGAAATAGTGACCTGCTTTCTCAATCCTATTACAGGATTTGAAAACGACTTTGCAGTTCTCCAAATAGGCAAATTTATTTTCAGGAAGGAGAGTCATTAGCTGAAATGCATTACAGTTCTTAATAATACAGAATTTCAGGGTTGAATGAAACCTTCCTTTTGAGGAAACTGAGGCACAGAGGGGTGACTTGTTCAAATGTGCTTGGCAGAGTTGAGAGTTCAGCATACTGAGTGGAGTGGGAGAAAGGTGATTTGGGAGATTACTGATTAAGAGCTTCTAAGCACAGTTCTTGGATCATTCATTTCATCTATTCATTCAACATAGATGTATTGGTCACTTGTTGTGTGTCAAATAATGTAATAGATGTTGAGGATTTGGGAGAACAAGACAAAGAAAGCTCCCATCCTCTTGGAGTTTACAGTATAGTAGGGGATAGAGATAACAGATGAATCAATGTCCTTAATTAATTATAGATTTTTATTAGGGTTACAGAGCAACTAAGTAGAGTGCAAGGTCATAAGGAATGAGAAAATAGTTTCTTCTCCTTTATCTCACAAGAGTTAATCATGAAGGCTTAGGTGAGGCAGACTTTGGAAAAGAATGTTCCAGGTGTTGGCAATTGCAAGTGCAAAGGCCATAAAGTAGGGAAAGGAGGGCATGTTACATGACCAGGCAGAGTGCCCTTGAAATAGTGTATTGGAAGCTGGAGGCTGGCAGGGAGGCTGGAGGGCACGGATGGGTCACATAATGCAGGCCACAGATTTTTGCATTAAAAGTATGCTCGGTAGATAAAATTAACGCTGTCCCTGAGCTTCAATTTTCATTTCCAGAAAAAAAAAAAAAGATAGTACTAATTATATCAATGATTATTATGTCAATTAAAGGAGATGGTTGCTTATCACCCAGCATGGCACTAGGCACATGTTAGGAATTCCCTACCGAGAGTCGTCCTACCCTGTGCCTCACCTTTATTTGTTTTTGTTTCTTTGGCTGAGCTGTGTGGCATGCAGGATCTTAGTTCCCCTGCAGTGGCAGCGCAGAGTCCTCACCACTGGACTGCCAGGGAATTCCCCTGTGCCTCAGCCTTAAATTCATCTTCCATCAGCCACTCCCTTGGGAGAACCATACTCAGAGTGAAGGTGCAAGTGCAGTGGATGGTGAGCCATCAGTGGGAAGACAGAGGGACGTGGAGGGTGTGGGAGTGAGGAGGGGCTGGGGACCTGGGATTTCCACATTAAAGGCAGGCTAAGGAGAGATCAGCATCCTCTAAAAGCAGCAGGATGCCTGCTGGGAGGTGATGCATGGACAGGGAGAGAAGAAGACATGCAGTGACCTGACGGGTCCCATGTGTGGGCTGCTGGTTTTTGGGGCCGCTCTCAGACTGCAGAAATTCACAAAGACCATTTCTTGTTATGAGAGCTGTGCTCCCCTGTAGCCTAATCAAGTCTTGACATTTGAATTTCTAACTAATTTGGGGGAAATAACTTTTCAGTTTCTCATCATATAGTACTTGTTCAATATGAATAGAAATAATCACTTTGCTGAAATGATTATCATGCCCAAGAATAATTATAGACTTTTCCCCAATTTTTACTTTTAGATAAATGTCAAATATCTTCTTTAAAGTGTATTTGATTTATTTTTTCTTAAGAATCATTAAAAAGTAGTAAAATATGATGAAGGTGCAGGGAAGTACAGGGAAATAATGGGAAATGTGCATGAGAAGAAAGATATGTTGACCTGGCAGAGAAAATTTTCTCAGCAGTGATTTTAGTCACCAAAGAAGTAAAAGCTATTAATACTAATTTCATCTAAAGGAGACCAGCAGCAAGTGGTTGTGTTTTCCCCAGACATTTCTGGAAGCCTAGTTCAGAATGGTTATCCATTATGAAATGGGGGTCCGTTATGGTAAAGTAGGCATTCAGGATCTGAGATCATAGGGCAGGCTGGCTATTCAGAGAGTGACCTTGTATGAGGCACTTAACCTATCTGAGCTTCAGTTTTCTCAGCTCTGAAGTGAGAATACCAAATTTACTTCAGGATAAACTGAGATGACATACAGGGTGCGAGACACCATCTTTGGTACCTCAGTAAAAGATACAAGTCTCTTTCCTTCCTTTCCTTCCCTCAGGAGAAAGGATGGTTGAGCAGTGGCTGGCATCAGGAACCTGAACTCCTGAACCCTCAGACTCCCTAGAGACACTCCACAGACAGATTCAGGAAAGGTCTCCGAAAGAGTTTCTACATGTTGTTGTCCAGGCCTAATGGAGCAAGTTAAAATTGAATCACACAGAGTATTAGTGTCTCATCTTGACTAGAATAGAAAGTCCTGTGGTCTTCATTATAACTTTTCAAACCATAACAGCCTCTTGGAGGTCCAAATGAAGCCCATTAAGCCAACCTGGACCCTTTGCTGTGATTTCACAATGAGCAACAGTTCGTTCACATGCAGTAAGGTAAGGGTTTCATGCTGGAAGATTTTAAAAAGGTTCTCCACCCCTCCCAGTCTTTTCAGATCATGGGTCTAGAACAAAGAGAGGATGAACAGTCTTTGAGTCACTTCCCCCAAGCTTCACAGCCAATCATACCATTCACATGATTAGGAAAAGCAAACACAAAATAAAACATGGTAAGACAGGATGGAGAAAAATGTTTGTGTCAATGGCTTGTGCAAAGTGGAACTAATCCTACTTCTCTTTGCCCCTGCCAGACATTTCTTGAGAGGGCTTTTCTTAGATGATTTTCTGTGTCTTTTTATTTTTATTTTTAATTTTCCTTTGAATGATATAAACTCTATGCCACAAGGAAAGAACCACTTACATCAAATGAATTTTATAGCCACATTTATCAAAATACAGGAGAAACTCTAGCAGCCCCTGCCCATGGCCATCAGGCACTTCCCTTGCCTATTCCAAGCCTGCCCTTTGGGAGAGATATGACCAGTTATATGAGCCAAGTGGATTTCTAACTAAGAGAAGCCTCATCAGCAAATCATTCTCTTAAATGTAACAGAAGTACCTAGATTCTGTTATGAAAGACTCTTGGGAAGGGATACTTTGCATTTTGAAGGCTATGTGTAAAATCTGGGTGTTTTTCTCAGTTCTGGCCCACACTCCATTACACACTTTAATGACTGTATTAAATTCTCAGATGAAGCCTTAAGATAAAGAGAAGCTGATGATATTTATTCACTTTTCAAGTTCTTTAGTTGCTGACATCACTGCAGCATGCTTGCTTTCTTTACTGAGAGGTACTTATAATATCTAAAGACTTGTTAATGCAACTATAGTCTAGAAGTAAGTAACAGATAGTCTGCCTAACTGGAGAAGCAATGTGTCACTGTGGAGAAAGCATCAGATGGGATAAAAGAGGCGCAGTGCCTGTTCCTGGCTGTGTCACTCTGGGAAAGTCATTTTATCTCCTATAAAGTGAGAGGATTAGCCTTGATGACGTCTACGATTGTTTGCAACCACAATTTAAAAAATGTTATATGACTCAGTGGCTTCTGAGAAATGCCCTCCCAGTGTGAGATATAGCACTGGAGAGTCAGGCTGGATGACTGTGCCCAGAGAGCTCTTCTAAGTGATTCAGAAACCCACAGTTCTGCATTTGTATGGAGGGGTTGGTCTACTTGTGAAATTAGTGCCCATTACCAGTCAACCCAACAGTACACCCCAGACATTTTAAACTAGGGAGTGTAATAACACCTTGTGCCATTTTAGGTAAGAACATTGCCTCATGCCACAGTAACCACTTAAATATAGAGAGACACCCATTAGGCCAAGTAAATATAACCTGGCTATTTTTTTCCTACATTCCCCAAAATTCAATCTCCTGATTTTTTATTAGTGCTTCTATTTTAAACATCTGGCTTGCCTTTCCCATTGTCTCTGCCTATGCTAGAGTTTCTCAACCTCAGGACTATTGACATTTTAGGCTATGTGGTTCTTTGTTGTGGGGTGGGGTGGGATCCTGTGTCTTATAGGATGTTTAGCAGCACCTCTAATTGCTAGCTGTCAGTAAAGTGCCACCATCCCCAATATGACAACAAGAAATGTCTCTGGACATTGACAGAAGTTTCTCAGGGGGGTGAAATCACTCTGGGTTGAGAACCACAAGTCTAGGTTTAATCTTTTTTTTAAATTTATTTTTAATCTATTTTTTATTTTGATTCTGAGTTTTCTTTCTTAGACATAAGACCAGTGCTATATCCTGAAGTGCCCAGAAAGTATTAACTCTGTTGTTATCATTCTTAATGTTATTAAGATCTTTCATTTATATAAGATTTCACAATTTATTGTTTCCACCCACATTATCCATGGAGATTAATGCATGGCAGCTCATTGTCTGTAATAAATTGGAAGAGAGAAGCATCTTTTCCATGACTCTCTCCATGCCCCTTTTTCACTGTGCTTGGTATCTTGCATGTTTGACAAAAGAGGTCTTGCCATGAGGAGGATGTATTTAGGACAAGTAAGGCATTGTGTAAATGAAATCTAGCTTGGTGTTTTCAAAGGACATAAAAGAGGAGATGCTTAATCACCTTGAAATGATACTCTTCTCCTCTCAGTGTCTGCTGGCAGGATCTGTATATCTCCGAGTATGTATACAGGACCACACATCTACAACTACATATGAACAGGTGGCTTCAAAGAGGTCTGAGCCCTATGACTCTTTAAAGGGGTTCTGAAATCTGCAATCTTCAGCCTAAACTGTATTGCTGGCATTTTATCATGCTGCACTAAGTGAAACCAGATGGCATGTCTGAGAAAGATAAACGAACTCATCCCCCAACATTTTCACCTCCTTCCTACCCCTCTTACCTGCTTAAGGATTTCAGCGGCTGTTTCATGTGAACAATCAAATACCACATAGAACTCCTTGCCTTTCTTCATCTCCTTGAGTAAAGGCTTGGCATCTTTATTCCCAGAGGGCAGTTGGCGGATTTTGATTTTAATGTTATATCTGGAGGGAGCTTTGATGAGCTCTTGCAGACGAATGAGTCCTAGAAAATGACATTCAATCATGCAACAAACTGTTCTGCCCAAAGTATGTTTATTGCCATTTATAGGCAAACTCATATCATTCCCAAAATGTATCAAGACACCATCTACCTAAAGGTTACATTATTGACTTCTCATTTGTCATTCCTCTTTCTATGAAATTCCTCTTTCTATGTGGATTATACTGTATTTTCTTTTTGTGGGTATGTGTGGCTGGAAGCACAATTTTCCCAAGAGGATTCTGAATTTTTTAGAATGCAACTGTCCTCTCCAGCTTTCACCACAAATCTTTAACAAATCGTCAATACTGTAAAACTTTTGTAAACAAAAAGTTGTTTGAAGTTTCCAAAGATGCTTTTTGAAATGGATAACACCCATTCACTTTAGAGAAAACCGATAGAACACTAGAATTTCTTGGGGTTATAAACCTCTGTAAACCTTTCAGAAAGTATTTATATATAACATACTGTTTACCAGCTAATTGGTTGGACTGTCCTATATAATCTTCCAGTTCCTGCCATATAAGCTATTTATAAATGGCTTATTGTACTTTCTTTCTAATATACTTGAACATTGTATGGGAAAATTCTTGATTTAAAAGAAAAGATGATAGAATTTTAAAGGATTATGATAATGAGGGCAGAAACAAATTCTTTAAAAATACACCATTGGTAATTGTAGGAAAGTGTATACAGCTAACTAGCTTGATGAAGAATGTTTAATGCACCACAAATATGAATCCACTGAACTGCACCATTTTTTTAATAAAAGTGCTTCAATAGGGCAAGACCAATAGCTATATGAAGCCTCCATCTTATTTCCCCTAATATTAACTGGTGTTCGCTACACTGCATGATGTTGGCTGTTACTCAAGGACGACCATTAGAAAATTGAATATTTTTTATTATACAGTCTGTGCCCTCAGGATGTGTCAGCTTCAAGTAATCAATAGGAACTATTAAGCTTTATCACTATTCAGATAGAAATTGTGGCATGCACTGTGCAAGACACAGCATGGATGCCAGCTACCTCTGGACTTGATGCACTTCTTTTATTTTCTTGTTTTATTTATTTAGTTATTTGTTTTCCCTAGAAGCTACATTTTTGTGTCTAAGATGTTATAAGATTCATCTGTACCTTGGGTAGGTGTGGTCCTGAAGTACAGTAAATTTGTAAGCTACTCTTCAGAGTCAAGTGGACCAGGGCAAGGAAGGAAGGAGTTGTAGAACTGTATCAAGATTTAGTGCTCATTATCTTTTTTTTAAGAATTGTATTTATTTTATTTTTGGCTACACTGGGTCTTTGTTGCTGCATGTGGGCTTTTCTCTAGTTGAGGTGAGCGGGGGCTACTCTTTGTTGTGGTGCGCAGGCTTCTCATTGCAGTGGCTTCTCTTGTTGCAGAGCATGGGCTCTAGGCGTGCGGGCTCTAGAGTTCAGGCTCAGTAGTTGTGGTGCACGGGCTTAGTTGCTCCGTGGCACGTGGGATCTTCCCGGACTAGGGCTTGAACCCATGTCCCCTGCATTGGCAGGTGGATTCTTAACCACTGCACCACCAGGGAAGCCCTCGTTATCCTTTTCAATTTCTTTATCATAAAAATAGAAATTGTTAGAATGATAGACTTCCTGGGTTCTTGCTTCTTTTCAAATCAACCAATGTGACTGAAGGCTCCCAACACCAGTGAGTCACTTGTCCTCTTACTTCCAGAATCACTTGTCCTGAGCAACTGATGAGTTCTAATGGAAGAAAACTGAGCACATGGATTTGTGTATTTGTTAATCCTAACAATAACCCTATGAAGCAAGTGTTATCATCTTCATAATTTCAAGTAAGAAAACCAAGGCTTGGAGCAATTAAGTAACTTAGGGTTACAAAGATAGGAGGAGCTATGGATTCAAATTGCTTGTGAGTCTAGCACTCAGTCTTTCCATGTCACCATCATGCCTTACAAATACAAATTGTTGGTGCTTGAGGGACCAGATATAGCTTTGGATTATTTGATAAGAGAGGTAAAAAGTAGAAAGAGGTACCCATTCTCCTTTCTTCTTTACTCCAGGCTGCTTGTGAGTCTCTCTTGTTTTTATTGTTTGTTTATTTGTTTTTTTTCTATCACCTTCCTGCTTTGCAATCTCTTCCTTTTTTTGTTTTTTTTTTTTTTGAACATGACCACAAGAGAGATCAATGTGGCCTTTAAATAAAATGGGAAAAAATATTTAAGAAGTACATTTCATATGCTGAAATGAACTGCTCTTTTGTTCTTTGCTAAATGGAATGTCAATCTTGAAGTTCATTTTCCTATCATGATGACTTAGATGCATGTTAATGGCATTTAAAGTTGAATATATTCTCTCCCTTCATTCATTCATTTTTACGGGAAAACATTTTCTGGATGTTCACTCCATGCCAAGTCCCATCCATGTTAAGGGCTGGAAATATAACATGAACACATCTTGCTTTAAGGTCCGCACAGCCCACAGAAGGAGTTCATCCCAACGAATCTTGTATTATGCATGGGGCATCACTTATTACTTAATTTGATAAACTATGACCTGAGGCTGACGGGGGCTGGAGCAACTTGCTCAAGGTTGTGTAAGGCTATTATGTGGCAGATCCAGGGTTTAAAGCTAGTTCCACCTCTGACTCCCCAAGCTAGGGCTCTTTTCATCAAATCAGTGGCTCCTCCTGACTTTGAGATTTAAGATCAACTAACTACTGACTGAATGACTAACTAAATATATAAATAAATATCTGCATAAATAGAGAAAAATATTAAAAAAATTTGGACCAGCATAAAACATTCAGCCTTTATTTGGCAAATGAAGCTGTTAATAAACAGGTTCCCTCCTCAAAAAAAGTAACTGTGGGCTTTCACAATTGTTTCACAAAAGAAAGTTATTTTAATACCAATAGAGGAGAAAGGAGAACTCAGTACAAAAGATTAATTTTTAATTGGACTAAATTTACCTTTCAGAAAAACTCACTACTAAGCCCTAGTATTCTCATTTTGTCTATATGCAGGTGAACTGGCCTCAGGAAGGGAGATCAGCAGATTTAAAGATTACAGACCCAAGATGTAGAAAGAACAAAAAGCAAGAAACAGGGAGGTTTACGTTTCTCTTCCGAAGCAATTGTTTGCTTAAAAAAAGCCTTGCTGCCTTCATTAGCAAACATCACAGAATTTACAATTAGAAAGGCTTTTTAGTCCACAGGAGACAAAATTTAGAAAAAGCTAAAACTAAAGCTAAAAAGTTAAAACTTGTCTTTAAACAAGTCGTTACTTCAGGGAAAGAAAATTTATGTAGGCACAATTCCTAACGTTTCTAATTGCCCTCCTGTGTGTAGATGCCAGCCCTGCCAGAGTGACCCAGTGCTTCTAGGATGGGACTCCAATTGCAGAGAATGGTAAGGGTGCATGCAAACCTGGCAACGGTGGTGGATTTTCTAGTCCATTGCAGGAGAGACACTTTAAAAATGAAGTGCAGAAAAGGAGGCAACTAAACAAACCGAATAGAGAGACATTCTACAGTAAAACTGGTATGGACTCTTCAAAAATGTTAAGGTCATGAAAGACAAGGGAAGGCCAGACTGTTTTAGACCAAAGGAGACTAAAACGACCTGATAGCTAAATACAGTGAGTGATCCTGGATTCAAAAAAAACTGCAATTGGGACAATTAGGGAAACTAGAATATCATATATATCTATATAGACATTAATATTGATATAGATGTTAAAAACTGTATCCGTGTTAAGTTTCCTGTGTTTGATAACTGTAGTGTGGTTATAAAAAGGAAGGTCCTTGTTCTTAGGAAATATACACTAATGTATTTAGAGGTAAAATGGTCATGCTGTCTGTCACTTACTTTCAAATCAACAATACTACTACTTGTTGTTGCTGTTGTTATATTGAGAGAAGCATAGAGCATTAAAGCAAATGTGTCCAAATGATGACAACTGCTGAACTTAGATGCAGGATGTGCAGGAGTTCATTGTACCTTTCTTGCCATTTTTCTCTAAGTTCAAATCTTTCTTAATAAAAAGACAAAACATGAGCCTCCTTCATCCACTCCCACCTCTAGTAATGCAACTGGAAACTGCACCTTTGGTTTGAAAAGTGCTTGAGAGCAAGGAGTCTGTTTATTTCACATGAGTTTGATCTGGGCGCTGCATGTAGAGATAACGTTCAAAAGTGCTCAAATTCTAAACTCTTTCTTTGGCCATCTATCTACTCTGCGCACTCAGATATGACACAGAAAAGTGCTGATTTGTATGCACGTAGACTCTGGGAACAGGTGGAGCATATGGAGGAGAAAAAAAGAACATGCTATTTCCAGTAGCTGTTTAAAATTTTCCCTGTCTTCTCCTTAAATAATAATAAACTTTGCTATTTGCATTGCCCCTTTTTATGAAGTATCCTACATGTCTTATAAATAGCTCAGTAAACCTCAGAATATACCTCTGAGGTGGATAGGTGTCAGTGCTGTTTTACAGTAAGGAAAGTGAGGCACAGTGAGGTTAATTGTTTGGATTGGCCTTGAAAATGAGTTACAGAAGCCAGAAATTGGAAGAGACCTTAAAGGTCAAGCCCCTACTTGATGCATGAATTCCCGCTACACAGCTGCTGCTGAATACCTCTTGGTTCGAGAAATTCTCTACCTCACTTTTTGCAACTCAATCCATTTCTGGACAGTTTTAGTTATATTTAATGAGCAGCAGTTCAGAAGAAAAGTACCTAGGTTTTCTTGAGTCTTAGTCCAATTCCCTTTTCATTGTACCACAACAGTGGATTTGATGTCATAAAAAATGAATGTAATAAGCCATTGGGACCCAAAGATAAGATCACACATTTTAAATGTTAATTTCATCTTCATTTGAACTTGGAAACATGCAAAATGGCATTTCACAAACATGTTGGTATATTAATGTATCCAAATCTAGTAGGATTCTTAAGGGGATCTATATACCCTCCAGAGGGGAGGAAAAAAATCAGAACTGAGAAAAGGAGA